AGAAGTACTACTAGGCTGACTTAATTATTTAGGGAGTTTTGGCAGATTTGCTTAAGTTTGTTGACCCAAACGCTCAAGTGGTAGACCGTTGGCTGCGTAAAAGCCTTCCCTGTTATGCGGGTTTGACCTCCGCCGACGTCGCGAGTTTTTTCAAAATTGGGTCCACTAAATTAAACAAATCAGCCAAACCCCCTAAATGATCCTGTAAGTGTCATTTACAGTAAACGTACTATCTCATGAGATATCAAAAAAACTTCTGAAGCTTGTTTTGGATTATAAAAGTAATAATAATTATGGTGTAGCCTGTTCGTTGAGGTAAAACCATCAAGAATAAATTTCTAATGAGATATGTGCTCAAGTCAAACAACAGCTTAAAATGATAGATCTAGGTTTCGTTTCCCTGAATTGCAAACGGCAATGTAATTTGACAGCTCCAGCATTGTAAGTTCCCCTCCTTTCTCTTAAACAACCATAAGACCCACCTGTTCTTCTAGGCCCTTTATTCGCTGCCGGTGGCTGCGTTCCTTGGCTTGCAGCACCTTCTCAGAATGCATAAGAGCGTTGCACTTCTTCTCCAATTCTGCCTCAATCTTTGCGTTCTTGCGCTTGCTCACCTCCTCCAGTTGATTCATGTGTGCCTCATCCTGGAGAATTATTTGTGCCTGTCAAGGGGGTGGGGAAGAGAACAAAAGGCAGATAGAAAAAAAAACACTTTCACAGGAATTTATGAAAATAATGGCATGTCTGACTCGGAGAATTGTTCTGGACGTTAGTGGCCATTTTCTATTACCCAAAGCAGTTCGTGTGTGCATCTAAGCCAATCAAATCGGCATGCTATCACATCCCTCTTGACTTGATTGGACTAGAGGTGGAAAGCTCGATGCGCTCGATAGGAAATCAATAGATGACTCGTCAACTCTATCCCCATCCCGCCAACCAAACGATGCAGAGTCAAGCTGAGGGATACAAACAAGGTCCCATGATTGGTAGTTGCCCCCAGGCTTGGAGTACGGGGCGCAGCTGATTGGTCAATTGCAAAAGGTGAACTTGTTATCCTATAAAGCTCATGAGGAAAAGTCCTCACGCCCCAGATGGCTACACAACGATTAGCGGTTAATCCTTTAAGAGTATCACAGGAAAAAAACTCAACAAACTGTAGAATGTCCAGTTCGGGTCTATCTACTGAAGTCAGAAAATCAACACCAATTCTACACCCGGTAGACTCTTCTAGATGATAAATCGGTAAAAAGGAGAATTTTCGACAGTATGATGCAGAGCATCTGGTTTAAGGACCAGCTAGACCCGGAGTTGCAGTTTTGCATATTCCAGGTCTAGAGTCAGCGTACGGGTGGCTGGCGAGGGGCAGATAAGCAAAATCGGTCATTTGGAGTTTTAGTCGGCCACACTTGTGAAGCAACCTCTCTCTGACATTACCTGTAGGCGTTGGAGGTGTCTACGCAACTCCAGGTTCTCTTCCTCCAGTTGTCGGACGTTCTTCTTTACGTCATCCTGGCTGGACAGCAGTCTGGAACTGGCCTCTTTTTCTCGCAGTCGTTCTTTGGTCATCTAGGGATGGGGGGAGAGACAACCAGAAGAAA